ACCTCATATAACCATAATCATATCATATCAACAAATACAGAACAACCATGCATCTCGAGTATACAGTGTGACTGGTTCGCCCGCACCGGGCCTTCAGTCCACCCGGTCCACTCTCTAAGTCTACAATATGACTGGACCGCCCGCACCGGGCCTACAGTCCATCTGGATCTATCCCGAGCCTTCGGTATGACTGGACCGCCATACAGGCCTACAGTCTATCCGGACCGCTCGTAGGGTATGTTGGCCTTCAGCACAAAGCATGACCGCCTCAACCCAAACATCAAGCAAATAACCATGTGCACATATAACAGGTAATCACATAACAGTCCATAGACAGACAACCAATCTAGCAGATCATATAGTATAGCAACATCCTATCCAGGATACCGACCTAACCGGTCACTAACATAGCATCATCCTATATACCAGGATATCGACCCTAACCAGGTCACTAAACATAATACCGACCTAATTACCAGGACGCCGATCTAACAGATCAATAAACATATCAACAATCCTATAACCAGGATATCGACCTAACCGGTCACTAACATAGCATATCACCATCCTCACTACCAGGATGTAAATCAGTAAGCATATCATGCAATAATCCAAATACAAACCATAAAGGGCCGGCATTGGTGCCTTAGACCCTGTTGATATGGTGAGGATAACTCACCTTGCAATGTCGGGCTGAACCACGAAAACACGCTCCCGACACACTGCCCCAAACTCCAACACCTGTAACCATCAATGATCCAATCATAAATACCCGCTTACCAATTATCCTCAAAAGTCAAAACGATCAACCCTTGGTCAAAGTCAAAGTCAACTATCAAGGTCAACAGTCCATGTTTACCTCAACTCGCCGAGTATCCTCAGCTACTCGCCGAGTTCCTTGCATAACTTGCCAACTCGCCGAGTCACCATGCCACTCGTCGAGTCCAAGGCAATCTTCATCGGACTCGCCGAGTTGTTCATCCAACCCGCCGAGTTCACGACCATCTTCATATGACTCGCCGAGTCTACCATGCCACTCGTCGAGTCCCTTCAGTCCTTCATCCATACAGATGCTTTTTAAGCCATGCTAAGACTCCATACTGCAGATCCAACTTCCCAAGGCATGCTTATCACGTAAAGTTGCAAACTTTACGTGCATGCAAGGCTCTAATGACTCATAATGCCAAATCCAAGCTTGAAATGGGGTTTTACACTCAAGGAGGGGTTCATACTTGCCAAAGTTGATAGCTTTATGGACTTACCAATCAAAGAGAGTTCAGATCTGAAGTTACAACTTCAGATCTGAGCTCATACCCAAAAATAGCTTCCTAACCAAACCAAGAAGCCCTAATTTCATCCAAAGAGATCTAGAATGAAATGGAGTTGGGATAACAGCTTAATACCTTCCCAAAAGATGCCAACTGAAGTAGATCTTGATCCCCACGAATTCCTTGCTTCAATCCACATGTTTCCCCCAAGCTCTTCTCACCAAGAATCCTCTTCCAAAGCTTAAAACACACAATCAGGCACACACACACGTATTAGGGTTTGCTAAGCTCTCAAGGCACTGTAAAGAGGCTGAAGGTGGCTTATGATTCTTTAAATAGGGTGCCAAACCCCGGAAATTAGGGTTTTACCTTCCAGCTCCAACTCGTCGAGTCACTCTTCCGACTCGGCGAGTTGGTCACTTAACACGTGGTCCAAACCTGCTGCTACTCGACGAGTCAGGCAACCAACTCGTCGAGTAGACCTTGAATTCATGAGAATTCATAACCATATATTGGTATTCGAGAATCGGGACGTTACACACCATCAGAGTGCTTCGATCACTAAGTTTGGTTAACTGGTTTGTTGGTCTCTTCACATGCGCAAGACAAACAAACACCTTGATATGCTGAAGTGTTGGTTTTCTTCCCTTCCAAGCTTCATACGGTGTCATATGCTTCACACCTTTGGTCGCCATCCGGTTGAGGATGTACACGGCATGGCGAACGGCCTCCCCCCATAGTCCATCTGGCACATTCATGGTCTTCAGGAACGATCTGGTGGCTTCTAGAACTGTTCGATTTCGGCGCTCAACCACATAGTTTTGTTGAGGAGAGTATGGTATGGTTAATTGTCTTTTGACACCTTCTTTATTGCAATAATCTGTGAAGAGTTGGGAGGTGAACTCCCCTCCCCGATCTGTACGTAATATCTTTAGCTTGTGAGGACTCTCGTTCTCAACATGGGCTTTGAATTTCTTGAACGCTGCAAGGGATTCGTCCTTCGTTTTGATAATATAGACCCACATGTAGCGACTATAGTCATCAACGATCAACAAGAAGTATTTGTTACCTGCCATTGTTTGTGGGGATATAGGACCACACAAGTCGGCATGGACCAGTTCCAGGGGCTTACTTGCGCGCCACTGTGTTTCTTTTGGGAATGGTTGTCGGGTTTGTTTCGCCACTAAACACCCTTCGTACACCTGTGTGGGACGTTTTATACTTGGCATTCCTTGTATCAAGTCCTTCTGTACCATAGACTCCATGATTCGAAAGTTGATATAACCCAACCTCGCATTCCATAACCAAGCTTCATCATCGAGACTAGTTGCTTGGCATACCGGTTGAGTTGTATGGAGCGAAATTTTGTACAACCAATTCCTGGATCGTTCCAACTTCATGATCAGCCTTTCGTTTTCATCGTGTACCCGTAAATACTGGTTCAACATCTCGATCTTGTATCCATCTTCTGTCATCTGCCCCAAACTTAAGATGTTGCAATGCAAAGCAGGGATGAAATATACCTCCGGTATTAGAAGTTGCTCACCATTCTTGCACTCCACCAAGATGGATCCTTTTCCTGCGATTTGCACCTTAGAGCCATCACCGAATCGCACCTGTCCAGTCACATTTTCATCAAGCTCCCCGAAGAAACTTTTCACACCGGTCATATGGTTGTTGGCGCCATTATCCAAGTACCAAACGTCTTTCTCGTTTCCTTTCTGTCCCGGAAACACCTTGTCCTCATTTAGTAGGACCATGTGGTTTGTGTCTTCACCGTGGACAGTCAACAGTAAAGTGGGTCCTTCTTCTTCTGTCTGAGTCAAGTTTGCCTCATCTCCTTTTTCTTTCGGTGATTTGCATTCAGATGCATAGTGACCGTGTTCCTCACAGTTAAAGCACTTAATATGACTCTTGTCCCTTCCTCTTTGGCGATTACTATTTGAGTCACGAGGCACTGATGAACTACCCCGACCACCTCTGCCTCGTGTACTTCCTCTACCTCGACCACCAGATCGACCCCCTTTATCATGGTGTGACGAGCCACGTCCTCTACCGCGTGTTGAGAACCCACCCCGTGAAGATTTTTGATTGAGTTTGTTTTCTGTTTGAGTAAGTAACAAACCGGCTTCCCCACTCGTTTGGCTGCTACGAGACTTTAGTCGATCCTCGTAAGCCTTAAGCCTACCGATCGCTTCTTCAAAAGGCATGTTATCCAAATCTGAGTACTGCTCAATTGATGCCACCAGCTGGAGATATTTGTCTGGAACCGAGTCGAGTAGCTTCCTCACCACTGTGCTGTCTCCAAGGGTTTCACCGAGGCTACTAAACTTTGAAATCATCCCACTCAGTTTTCCTATGAACTCATCAATTGACTCTCCGTCTTTCATCCGTAAGGCCTCAAATATTCTTGCCTTCTACACTCGATCAACACCAAGATATCTTGTTTTCAAGGACTCCCAAACCTCCTTTGTTGTTTTCTTCTTTGCCACCTGTAGAAGAATGTCTTCCGGTATCGCTTGGAAAACAAGGCACGAGCTAACTTGTTCTTCTTCTCATCCACATCCACTCCAGTCTGTGGTTCAATGGACTCCCAAATCCCCTGGGCATCCATAATGGCCTCCATTTTTATGGCCCAAGTAGTGTAATTTGTCGATGTCAGCATCGGCGTCTGAAACGGAACACCACCGCCTTCCCTTGCAATAGATGTACCAAGCGTCATATCTTCAGGTATGAGGTATTTGGGCATGAACTTCCTGGCGCTCTGATACCAAGTGTTGGATCAAGGTCTGCACAGGATCAAAACCAATACAAGATATGCAGGGTAAAACTCAAGAATAGATAGGCAACAAGTGGGGCAATTTTCTGTGTTTTATTCTCAACTGAAAAGCAAACTTTCTGAATACAAAATGCACTACTTTTACTACTATTTAAAGCTGCGAAAATGGCAGAAAAAAAATTGAAAGCAATAAACCCACGTACTCCTAATCTATAGGTAACCAATTCACCCATTATTTCCACCATACCCGGTCAAACTATGACCAAATCAGAATTAAATCTAACAATTAGAAGGGTAAGGCGGTGAATTTTTCTAACAAAATCAGACAAAGAAATGTGTGGTGAATTTTTATAACAAAATCAGACAAAGAAATATGGAAAATTTTGCTAACAAAATCAGACATATAAAAGCGGAGTTTATTTATTTATTTTTTTGTTAACAAAATGACATCTTATAAAATAACCATTCAGTAAGTACATTGTATGACTCTGATTTTAACAACTTGACATGACAATGCATGATTTTTCAGAAAAATAAAACAGATTTTTGACAGATTTTTCGCATAGTTAGAATTTGGCAAACACTAACAGTTAACTTATCAACTTATTACGTTTGATTTTGGTACCGAATAGGATAATCCAAACACCGTTGGATAAGTTAATAAACACTTTAACAAAAATTACAAGTTGTTTAAAGTAAGCAATCCCAAACACCCCCTTAATTTGATAGCGATTTGTTTCATGATCTTCACTTTATGTTTCAATTGATGATTGATATCTATTAATTCCAAGTTATTCCTATCATTTTGTATATTAAGATGAACAACTTCCTCTTAATTTCTGCTTAGGCCTCTAATTAAGAGCTAGAAGGTCCCTTAGAATGCCTAGCTTCGAAAAATGGTTGTCCTAAATATTACAAAGATGCTAATGAAATACTTAAGTGTTCTTGAGATTTCATGAGAACTTGATGACACAAGCTGCAGCCTTCCTTTCAATTTTCTCCAATTCCTTCCTGACCTCTATTTTCCTCTTCAGATCACGTAGACAAGTCTTGGACCACCAAATATCCATCATCTCCAAAGCACATGCAGTCTTCAAAATACGTTTGAGAAAACATATTTCTGAATTATAACCATGAAAATTCTTCAAGGTCACTGTCTTGAGGCAGTTGGTTATGCATATAGGTATCGATGACCAAGTTGAATTGTTCTCACCAAGGTGCATGTCGCACATGAATCCCTGTACAGCATTTTAAGAAAACCTTGCATTGATATCATGATCATTGGGGATGATATTTAAAATTTTTGAGAATAGAGCAACCCACCTCTGAGAAACAAATAGATTGTAGAACTGGACAGAAGGAAAGCAAATGCATCAATACTCTAAATGTATGATTCATCCCGATTTCCGTAGTTAGTATTATATGGGTCAAATTTGTGAACACCGGAAAACTGATACAAGCTGCAAATAAAAGAGTCTTCGCATGGGAAAGAAAACACACAAACACATAAGTTAGTTTGTCAAGTTTGGCATAAAGAGGCGAGTTCCGATATATACATTCTATTGAATACGTTTGCGAATTACCTCCATAGTTTGATTAGATAACGTCAAAGACACTACATATTTTAGTTGTTGAAATAGATCAATAGCTCGACATGCGACTTCGTTTACCCCCTCTCCGGGACAAGGAAACTTAATGAATGCTTTGTCCAGAGACAATGTATCATTGATGATAATCCCGTTTAATAGGTTTCCGAAATATTCAAAATATGTAAGATTTGCTGCATCGATCTTGATCTTACAGCCACTAGTAGGATCATCGAATACCACAAAGTGTGTCAGATCACGTATGCTCAAGCTCTTTAATGTGGAACTAGAAATTGCAATGTTCTTCAAGTTAATCCACCTGCAATCTGATAAAGCCAATTCTTCTAGAGCTGGGCAGCCTGAGAAAAGCTTTTCTGTAAAATCATCATGCATGAATCGAACGAAGGACAGGTGCAAGGTTTTCAGGCATAGAAAAGAAACGTGGGATGGGAGTTGAATAGCACAGTTCATTCTTATTTTCAGGCTAACCAATGATGTGTTATGAAACATAGACTGAGGAATCACAGATGGATCCTTTGCAAAGAGAGACATATCAAGCTCCTGAACATTGTGAATGATTGCATCCGAAATCCATGAGCTTATTTGAAATGCATTACGATAAACACAACATGATAGACGAAACTTCTCCATATTTGATGCATCATGTAATCGTAAGACTCTTTCTACAAAGTTCACAAAGGAAGTCACATCAGGCCGAGGCCATCCATCAGCCAATTTAGCCATCAACAATTCATCATCAAAATCAATGTTGGGAACAGAAACCCAGAGGTTCTTCCATCTTGTAGATAGTATGGACGTCTTTACAGCTTCTTTTGTGGGCATAAAAGACAGAATTTGATGAAGAATATAATCTGGTAGATTGCTGATATGATCCAGATCGACTATTATATCACCTATATCTTCAATTTCATGTTGCTTGTGACCTCTGTATTCACTCATGGTTAGCCTCTTTGATTTCCTAAACACGGCCTACAAGCAAAATGTCAAGTTTAGCTTCTTCATAATCAACTAAACTGAAAAACATTCAAGAAAGAAACAACGTAACTAGATCATAAATGCTGTATAACACAGGAACCAAGCTGAACCATAGGCCATATCCATTACCTTAGACCAGGAACATTTCATCACAAGCTTCTTATTTATGGATCGTGGATGACAATTATAATTCCTCGATACAACTAAATCTTATATATAAGCCCTGGAATTGTTGATCGGTAAAACTCATTGATATGCTAAATAACTGGAGAGACTAAATCAACAGTATTCGCCTGTTTATCGAAGAATGAGGAAGAGTTATGGCGTAGGTATTGGCATGGCGGTTAAAACTTAAATGTGTGAGTTTTGAGGGAGAAATCGTCCCTTAATTCCCGAAATTAATGCAAAAACACCCTTTCTCCGTTTCTCGTATATAAATCCACAAATATTTTAGAGTTATATTTAGAATAAGAAATCATAGAAATCCACCATGAGATTTAGTTCAATCTACATGATTCTTTACAACTCAGAAATTTTAACGTATAATCCATTACATAATATGTCATTTGATTTTTTTTACAGTAATATGTGATAAAATGATCAACCATAAGTACAATTTCTCTGTAAATTACTATTTATTTTGTTCCCCGTTATACGCATATTGTAAAATTTTCTCTTAATATATATACTTTTTTCTTTTTTGTATCTAACGTTATGTCCCTAGTAGTAAAAAAATTGAAAGAAAAGGGAAACTAGCAGTGTCCCTAGATTTTTTTGGAAAGAAAAAGATGAAAATTAGTTATATAATCATCCTCCCTAAGGTGTCGTTTGTTTTGGAAGTGGTTAAATGTCTTTTGTCTTTTTCCAAGTTTGCGGAAGAAGACGTGCACTTGCGAAATGTCTACCCGCCAGAAGGGAAAAGTGCTCAAAAAGTACTTTTGTAGAAAAACAAACGAGGCCTAAGTGTGCCTCTTTTCCCACTCCTCTCGGGTATGCGTACTACTGCTACACCGCATCCTTGTCTAATAAATTGTGTTGAATGATATTTTAATTTCTGTTAAATTAAAGATGTGTGGTTGGCTGCAAGTTAACTTAAGGTGGTGCATTTTTATTCTAACATTTTTCAATTTAATGATTGATGAAACTAGTAATAGACTTTCATAACTGGTCTAGCAGTACAAAAATGATAATCTATAAAAGAGGTTAATAAGATAAGAGTGTAACGAAGTTAAGCATAGATATTATACATTCCTTGCCTCATGAACATGAACATAGCGGTTTGCCTTTTGTTATATTATCTTTAGGGTGGACGGTATGCCCAATTATCATCCATCCCATCTCTAGCATCCTTTCCTTTCCACGTCAGCCATTGGTCAACCATCTTCCATCCTAGAAAGATATCCAAATCCTAAAGCAAAATGCCAAAGTAGTACAACCTCACATGCACAAAATCAAACAAGGTAAGGCGGTGCATTTTTCTAGCAAAAGAAAACCAGACAGTGTAAGGTGATGAGCTATTCTAACAAAATCAGACCAAAAAAGATGGTAAATTTTGCTAACAACATCGGACATAAAAAGGTGGACGGTTTTTTTAAGCGAATAACATCTTTGAAAATAACCATTCAGTACATTCTACAAATTTTCGTATTACAAACTCTAACTTTCACAGTCAACTTGACATATTAAATGCATGTTTTTTTTCCACAAAAACAGACTTCTCACAAATTCTTGCAGTTGGCCGTTCACTAAAACAAATATTTTTGCATGTGGCCATCTGCAAAAATCTGGTTAAAAAGAAATTGCATGCCCTCAAGATTTTCACAGGTGATTACATGCGGAAATTATGGCTATTTGGGTCATTTTACTAATTTGTTGTTATTTTTTGGAAAGTTGTCGAAGCTGATGAATTTTAAGCATATTGAAAAAGTTTTATCTTAATAAAAACTAGTTGAGTAAGTATTAGTAGTATATTAGTCATTAACTTATTTTGTAATGATATTAATCGTATTTATTTACTTTGTTAATGATATTAGGCATATTTATTTATTTAAAAATTAATTGATTTACAATTTCAGATCCCTACTAATCGAGCGACTTAGTACCGTCTAGTGACTTTTACCACCTTGAAAAGTACTTATTCCACACAACTTTTTATATAGAAAAACAAGAACAATTGAAAAAATTAAATCTTATAAAAACGAAACATGCTGAAAATGAAGCTATGTCATTTTACCTCGGAAAATTTTAAAAAGAAAAAAAAAATTGCAAGTCTCAAGCAAAAGTAAGGCGTTAGATTCCAATTGCAACTTAATGATTATAACATATTCAGACTATGCATTCTCTATCCATGTGATGTAAGACAGATTGTTACCACTATCCATATATGATGATATGATGATTTGTTACATTACTTTGTGTATTGTACATAGAATATTTTCAAATCATTAAACACAAATGAAATTACAAAGTTGCCCTTTTTCTTTTTCTTTGAACTCTCAATAGTACAAAATTAAAGTCTCAGATGGCCACAAAGGAAGAGACAGAAGAGACACAAGGGAACCAATATCGTCTTTTGCCATCTCTATGACCATCATCAATCATCGCAAGCCCCTCCTACACATAAATTTAGTAAAACCTCACATGATGAGATAAATACATATTATTAATTATAATAATGAAAATAAGCACTCACATCCAATAAAGTTTCAAGGGCATCAGTGGCACGACCAGTGGACCATGATAAACGTCTCTCTACTTCTTCAACAGTCACAAAACCTTGAGCCTAAAAAAGCATCAAATCATATATTTTTATCAGAAAGAACGACTTAATATAGAAAGTAAGGGAAATAACTAATAAGGCTTTCCCCATAAAGTCCTAACTTTTTAAAAATTGCCTTAAACATTTTCCTTTCATTTCCCAAATGTAATCTTGTTTATGTATATGTCATTTCTGAAATCTGAAGGGTAAAATGGTCATTTAGAAGTAATAAAGCGAACCTGGGACAACTCTAGAATTTCATTGTGATCTTTCTTTAATTCAGTTGGGACAGAACGAACAAGCTTTCTTTTTCCAACAGTAATCACTTCAAATCCACTCCCTAATACCTGAAATGATAGTGCTAACAAAGGTTTAGGATAGCAACAAGCATCAATTAAGGTAACAAGCTTAGGATAATAACAACATTTTAAATCTTGTTTATTATGTCATTTCTAAATAGAAGGGTAAACTGGTCATTTACACATATTTAAATAGTTTATTAGTTAAGAAAAGAAACAGTATTTATGTACACAACACTTTATGAAAACATACATCAACATGCCCTAAATCTGGTAAAGCTATAGTCATAATAGGCTACTAATCACAAAGATCATAAAAGTAAATCATAAAAATTGAACATTTATTAACACAATTTTATAAAACAAATAAAGAAACATCACCTTAAGTTTACTAATTGCACGTAAGCAATCGTCTTCAGAAACTGCCTCACGAGCACCCTTTCGCCTCTGACTTAAAATTTTGCAGAGTTCCTCCAAGTTGATTAAACCACCATTATGGGGTCTAGTAGCCAAGCATATATCTACAATTTGTACCCCTGATAAAACCATATAAGATGTTATTTCCTATTTGCTTAATTGGGACATAACTTAATCTGGTAAGTTATATATGAGTGTTTCTTTGTGACTTAATGCAGAAATAACAACTTAATAGAAAAAGTCAGGGAAATAAGGCTTTAAACATCATTTATCAAGACAACACTTAATATGGAAAAGACATAATCACATAAGTAAAGATATAAACATCAATGGTGTCATTTTAAAGCAAAACTTATGAGCTAAAAGCAAACACCTACCAAGTTCATAATAGAAATCACCAATCCCTAAGAGCTCAGCCCAGAAACCTTTATTTGATGCTAATGGGTCTACTCCTACTTTTGCACACATCTCATGGAATTGTGATCTGAAAACAGGGTTCTTGCGAATGTCATTCTGCACTTAGCATAAGAGAGTATGAACTATCAGAAAATTCACAGTATTTGGACTTATATCATTATAATTGCTATTAAGTTTTCTTCGCATTAGGAAGCAGCTGTCACTCATATCATCCAATTAAAAACTATCCATAAAAATCAATGCTTTTAGTTGGATGAACTCAGAGTAAAAAATTTCTTGAAAATGCAATCTGACCAAATACAAATAAGCGATTAGATGATTTAGAAAATGTAGGGAAAAAATAGATAATCGATTGAGAACCTTGTGTTTCCGAGCAAAGTCTTCTAATTGAGAACGAAAAGTGGAAAGCTGCTCTTTCATAAGATCGGTTCTTAACTTGGCTACATTTTCTCCGAGTAATCGATATTGATCCTGATGCATCGTTTTAAAGAAAAAAGTATAATCAAAATATACATCAATTCGAATTTCTATGCAAGTATGAAATAAGGGAAATTGATACGAACCCTAGCAGCGGCGGCAGTCTGTAAACCACCGATTCCTGGTCTCCGTCTCATGGTTCAATAATAAGATGAATCTACAATCTCCGATAAATCTTCGATTATGCTTTCACTTGCTTTTTAGAGATTCTTGTTAGTCGATGAAGACGTTGACAGATTCACCGGCTAGTACTCAGTGGACAGATGTTTCATCCTTTCATTCAATCTTTGTTTTTTGTTGAACAAGGATTATTAAAATATAGTTACCAACAATTATTAACAATCAGAGTGGCGCAGCGGAAGCGTGGTGGGCCCATAACCCACAGGTCCCAGGATCGAAACCTGGCTCTGATAATCAGAGAAGCTTCTGCTAATTTATTTTTAGTTTTTCGCACTAAGGGGGTGTTTGGCTTGTCTTTTTTAGAAGTAAAAGTCCTTTTTGGAAAAGATAAAGGGCAAAAGATGTTTGGTAAAAACATTTTAAAAGTGACTTTTGGATTTTAGATAGAAGAAAAACTTACTTTTTGGAAATAGAAAGATTATTTATTATTTTGTTCTTTTTTTTCAAATCCTCCCAAATCAAAAGAAAGTTAGGAAGGAAAGTGATCATTCCATTTCCCTCCACTTCCTTCTTTTAACTTCTTTTAATGAATCTCGGGAACATCATTTTTTTTTTTTTCTTCTCATTTCATGTCGAATTCCCTTAGGGTTTAGGGTTTAATCTTGTAAACTTGTTGTGTCAGGTCGGATTGAAGCCAAATGAGTTTAAAAAAAATAAGAATAAAAAACTATACAGAACCAGAAGGCTGAATGACGAAATATACATTAGGTCTAGAGGACAACATAGAGAAGTATGAGTTTAGTGTTCCTTGAAGCTGCGTTTCTTTAATTACTTCAATAGGTTTTTTGTTGTTAAATGCAAAAAACATACAAGATCCATTTTATCATTTATTGGTCTAATCTTCATCTTCTATTTCTTGGTTGTAAACACGAACAGAAACCCTAAATTCTTCATCACTTTTTTTTCCTTGATATTTGATAAAGATGATGAAAAAGAACACAAAGATGGGTTTATTTTTACTTTAATAACGAAATAAATGGCCACTTAACCATCTACACATCGGAAATTGTCATGTCAGCAGTTAGAATCAACTCCCATTCGGTAATAACAAAACATTCGGTAATAACAAAACATGGAGCCTATGATCATGAAAGCCGCGCTTCTTTTTGACACATTGCAACATTTGTAGTTTCAACAAGCTTTCATAGCTAATAGGTTTCACCAACACCTCAAACACTGTTCTAATTTATGTATTAGTCAAAGAATGTGATAAATCAAAATGTGATCTTTGTATAAATATTCACATTCATGAATTACCACATCTAATTTGCAATTATCATAGAGCCATGACGTAGTATGATTAATGGAAGAAATCAATCATAAAAGCAAGAAACATCTTCATATGAGAAAGCATTAACATAAAGCTTTACTTACATGTATGCGTGCCATTGATGAAACTTCAAAAGTTCAAATCTTTTTCAAGCTCAAGAGCCCTGTCATATATCTAAATAGAAAATTCATATCGGAATTCAACAATTAACAGAAGAGCATTTCCACCAAAGGCCTACACATGAAATTTTGAAGAAAATTTTGCTGTAGTGATTAAACACTAAGTTAATTAACAACAAATTTGTAAAACGGACAACTACAGAGTCGATGAACATTCGCCCAAAAAACAACATCCATAAACTAAGATGATTTATTGTGAAAGAGGAACTGCTGCCATTAAAACACTGTAATTTTCTTCCTTTTCGAGTTGATTGTCTCAATGGTGAATCTATCATTCGATAATTTTCGTCTGTCTATCAACGGACTACGATATGGAAGAAAAGCAATGTAACCTGCGATTGCAACCGAATAACCACCTTTAACTTTCTCCATGATAAATCCTCTGACCTTTTTATTCGATTGCCAGATCTTTTGCAGTTCCATCCAAGCCTGATTCTGCGTGAATCTTCGTGGAAGAAGAATCGCCGGTTCACCAGCTACTGCATCAGTAGAGCCAGCCATCTCATTAAACCTAGCCGTAGCTCGCTCTTTCATCACCGGTTCACCGGCGACGAGATCCATGAAGAATCTCTCCAAGATCTGTGTTTTGATTAGAGATTCGCCGGCCGTTGCCTCCATGAATCCAACCTTATTCTCGAACCTGGCTGCGGAATGACTCCCCGGAACTCCTCTAAGCTCGTCTCGCATGGTCATTTTCGGGGTTCCAATTCCTGCATCTACCAAGAACATGTCGTCCTTGAATCGTGAAACTTCAGATTTTAGGGCCTTACCACTGGATAGAAGAAAACTTGAATTCGATTTGCGAAACAATCTATTCATGTAGATCGTCATCTTGAGTAGTTGCTTCGTTTTCCTCCGATGATCGTGAAATCGATCGAAGAGATCGAATACAGGTAAAAGTCGGAGATAGGGTTTTTACTCGCCAGACGTGAACAGGGAAAGCCTGTAATCAAACATATTGGACTTGGGCCTAAACCGGAGAACTTTTTGTATATATAATATAATCACATTTTTATAATTTTATTATAAAATTATCATTTTGCCACTAATCGGCGAAATTATTTTTTAATAATATTTAATTGTCGATTTGAGACTATAGCTTTATTTGGCGCGTCACAGCTAACTTATTTTTCGAGCTTTTTTATGTTGTTGTGTTTGGTAAGCCAAAAAATGGCTTATAAGCTAGCTTATAAACTAGCTTTTGAAAAGCTACTTAGGCTAGTTTTTTAAGGGTTTTTTTTAAAATTTTCAAATACACCTCTTAATTAATTATAGAAACACATACTATTACATGTCATTTTATGTAATTTTATATATTTCAGCTAGCTTTTCAGCTAGTCTTACCAAACGTTATTTTTTATGTAACAACGTAAATTTCCAACACAATTTTTTTCATTTTTTAAAACATAATTTCATTCATAATAAGTATCAAAATCCAATGTAACACATGTCCTCCAAATAAAACAATCCCAAGATCTCAAATACATAAAACTCCATCAATGTGTACAGATCATGTCGGTGCCTTCCCGCGATCCTCGCTGGTACCTGATACACATATCACATAAACGGTAAGCATAAATGCTTAGTGAGTTCCCCAAAATACCACATACGCACATACGCCACTCAAGGCTATAACTCTACAAGACCTTCCAGTCTGTGTGTCTCAGGGGACTTCCGTCCCATAACCCTGATAGACCGTCCGGTCCCACTTCTATGACCTTCCGGTCCGTATCATCTTGACCTTCCGGCCCATACACCGTTGACCTTCCGGTCCATATCATAATACTCATAACATAACATAACACATACATATCATATAAAAACATACATCACATACTCATCATAGCACATAAGACCTTCCGGTCACACATAATTACCACTCTAGGTAAAGTATAGTGAGAAGACTCACCTCGTACGATGTCGGATAACCTCTCGTGCTCGATAACCCGACCTAGCCTCCTCCTATCAACATAATAACATCTCTAATCAATACTTTCTCTTGTCCTCATTTCTAAAGAATGGGTAGAAGACCATTCTACCCCTCCCCGACCTCTTTTGAACCAGCTTGACCAAAACCCTAAGGTCAACTGAAGTCAACTCTAGTCAACGGTCAAACTTTGACCAAACTCGTCGAGTGCACTCGTGTGACTCGCCGAGTCCATGCGTGTCCTCTTAATCCTCATAAATCCTCACTCGACTCGTCGAGTTAACCTTTCTCTCGACGGGTTACCACTGGTCACAAAACGCGGGGCAACCCGACTCGACTCGTCGAGTCCCCTTATGGACTCGGCGAGTTCCCTCCATGGCAACACTCAAAAGACCTTCTGAGGTCTGATCTGCTTCTCTAACCTATAGATCTGACCTTCCAATACACAATAATCACGTAAAGGTCCAACCTTTACACTCATGCAACACTCATAGGGCTTCTTTTTTGTGAAATAGCTTCTAAAATGGCAACCTAGGTTCATATCTCCAAAGGAATAGCATAAAGCAGGATAGTTAGGACTCTCTGGACCTCTTAAGGTCCAGATCTAAGAAGAATTACACCTTGGGACCTCATATGATTCGAATCCAAGCTAAAGAAGGCATAAGAAAACCCTAAATTCAAGTAGATCACCATATACACCTTGGGACCTCTAGCAGCCTCTTCTGATCAAATGGTAGTAGATCTGAGCTCCTCAATCTGCCTAGCTTGCCCTCCTTCCTTCTTTCTTGCAAAATCACACTAGAAATGATGAAAATGGCTTCTTTTCTCACTCACAAAGCTCTCAGGTTCTCTGGTGCTCTCAAGGGTGAAGGTGGCCGCAAATGAGGGCCATAAGATCCCTTAAATAGGGCACATGCCCGAGGATTTAGGGTTTCTGTCCACAGCGCGGACTCGTCGAGTCAACTTGCCGACTCGTCGAGTCCATTCATTAAATCCAGTCAGCAATCGCGATCCTACTCGACGAGTCTAGGCGTCAACTCGTCGAGTCCCTCTTCTTGACACAAACTAAATAATTAAAATATGATACCTGGAATTCCGGATGTTACATTTTATCATCTAGCTTTTCAACTATCAGCTAGTTTTTTATTTAACAACTAACTTTTCAGCTATCAACTAGCTTTTCAACTAACAGCTAACTTTTCAGCTAGTACGCCAAACATAGCCTATGATCTAAATGTTATAACATGCACCTTAGCCATTTCAACTAGATTTTGTCACTTAGAAATATTTATCTTATCAAGTTGTGAATATTGAATTTTGTGAGTTAAATCATGGTTTTTCTGTACAAAAATGATTTTTTTTCATTATTTTGTATATTCGCGAATTTTACACAACACTCGCAAGTAGAGTATGTTTGCTAAGGCTTTAGGGAGTGGGTTGCGACAATGGCCACACCCTTGTGCCACGTAGGACGGAACACCGCCCCTGGGTGCGATAGAGGTGCGGTTGAGGCCGCACTACGGCTGTGGGAGGGAGCGCTTCACAGACGATTTTGATTGGCCACCTTTATTACCGTTGCAAATGGTCAAAATTTTAAATTAATTTTTTTTTTTATATATATATTTTTTATTAACACTATAAATACATTACCATATTAACCAAAATAACTAACAAACACATCTTTTTTTTTTTACCATCTTCCTCATTCTAATACCTACAAAAATGCCATCCTCCAAAATTCCTACCAATCAAAAAACACCCACTACAAAAACCACAACTCCAATACCTTCACTTGATCAACCGGTTTATTCGCCTCCTTTCTACCACTACGACGATATGCTTCCCAATTTTCCGCAACATATCCAACAACCACAACGCCCTACACAACCACTTCCACAAACACAACCACAATTCGACCCAAATTTTGATCCTTTTGATTTTGATTCTTTACCAGAGTTTGTTCTACAAACACAATCACAACCACAAACACCCATTTCCGAATCCGAACTAGAAATTGTTCCACAAACTAAACCCTCTAAACCAGAAAATAAAAGAAAAGAGAATATGGAATCTAATATGTGGGAACCTCGAGAAGTGTTAGTATTAGCACAATCATGGATTGACGTTTCAGAAGATGCGAAGACGGGAGGGGACCGAAAACATGATCGTTTTTGGATGCGCGTTAGAGCTAGGTTTCACAAATGAATGAACCTACAACCATATCGTTCTAAACATCAAGTCTACTCGAAATGGGGAAAGATGAACAAAGACTTCATGTTGTTTAACGATTTGTATAACAACATGAAACGACAATGGAAAAGCGGCGAAAGTGACGATGTGATTTTGGAGAAAGTTTTTAACATTTACCAAAAAGAGCAAAAGAAGACTTTCAAGTTTTGTTGAAGATTGGAATCTACTCAAAGGCAACAAAAAATGGCAATATCAAAAAACAATGGACGAATACATCGATAGTGGATCAAAACGGTCAAGAATTTCCGAATCCGATCACACTTCATCGGATGCTCGTGTTGGTTTTGACCTCAACGATGATGAGCCCGTTCAAGTGTCCCCCCCCCCCCCCCCCGACCAATGGGGAGGGATAAAACAAAAGGCAAAGGCAAAGGCAAAGCGTCAGAATCGGATGACTTGAAAGAAATGAGCGAGAATGTGCAAGGCATAAAAGATAGAATGGATAAATTTTTGCAACTTGCTTCGGATAGAGATACTTGGAATATCATGTTATTTTTTTAAGTAATGTAATGGTTTTTATTTTTAATTAATGAAATATTTTGTTTTTAATTAAAACGAAAATTTTTATTTATTTAAAAATAAAAATAATTAAAGGAGTGTGGCACCACTGCTTGTGTGTGGCATGAAACCACACTTCTGTGGCAAAAAGTGATGTGTCGTCTACGTGGCAGTGAAGAAAAGGCACATTTTGTGGCACCACTCCCTCTAGCCTAATTCATGGCTAAATTCACCGACATTATTATTTTTTTTTTTGGACAAATTGCCTTTTGTGTAAGTAAAAGTACCTCACAAATACACAAACCTTTTTTAGTGATTTACATAGTTATTTTGTGATAAAAAATAAAATATATTCATTTTAATGATTAACACACTATAATTATAAAATAACGACATGATTACCAAAACTATAAAAAAACGACCAAACTTTAGGACATGTACCAAAATGACTTATCATTTTATGATGAAATGACATTTTGGATTTGATTAATGAGTATTTTTTTTCCACTTTTACTAAACACTTATATTTTTTTCTATCTTTTGTAAATCCGGAATACTTAATGTATTTTCATTTAAATGACATCTTTCATCCCTTCTATCTTAATACACTTCACTTTTGCTATGGTTATTTAATTTTTTTATTAGATTTTAATAAAAACAAACATATGTTTTCAAAATTTCGAAATAGTTTTTTTACTGACCGCAATGTTTAGTTTGAAATCCGAAATGTGCTTTTTTATTAACAATTGTATTTTTGTTATGACATACTTTTAGTCTAAAATTACTTAGAAATGACATGGTGGTCATTTTGATAAATTCAAAATGTTGGCTGCTTTGGACGTACTGCCATATTTCAGATGGTCACTAACATGTATCTCTAATATTTAACATATTAAATTATTGACAAAAATCAAAGGTTACTCGTTTCGACTTATAACCCGCTTTAACTTATAAACGATGGTTTATTTTATAAAATAGCACCCCAAGTTAGCTCTAATTCTAATAAATTAGGCCCCATGGTAAACTTTTAACCCATTTTTATCCATGTGAATTGTTAAGAACAAAATATATCCAAATTTGACTCGTTTTAAAATGATGTGTTGAAACTATCTCCTCTCATTCCATAATCCATCCCATTTAACAATCAAGTCATCTAAAGTAAGTAATCTATGAATTATGTTGTCATCCCAGTAGCATCCTTTGGTATCAAAAACAAGAAAACAATTGGTATATATGTGCAAATGACTTGAATCCCAATCCCAAAACTAAGATTATGAAAGGAACCCGAAGAGATGTTTAGAACCGAAGCCAAACCAGCACCAAAAAAGGAACTTATAGTGGACCCAAAATTGCTTATTGACATGAAGAGCGCAAATAGAGTCCCTTCTATTCCAGGTGGACATAGGTAGCCTGATAGAATCAGGAAAGGCATCACCCTGCAGTCAACAAAAAAGTCAACGGATAAAGCTTGTAGTCAAATCAAATGAATTTAAATACATTACATTACATACTTGAATTGATGGATTGCATCAGAGAGAGCAGACCCAAACAACACCATTGCTTCATCCGAAATGTCAAACCCAACATTTAGTCTAGAAACCAATGCTATGTCTAGAAGTGTCGTGAGAGAGAGTATAACATGAGACAACCTGCAAGTATATGTATATTCCCCAAGGGTAAAACCGTCATTTACTCGCTCGCATTCAGATGGTTAATTATACTGTTATGAAATGGAACATTTAGTGTGTGTGTGTATATATATATATATATATATATATATATATATATATATATATATGGGTGTTTTGTTTGACTGAATCTGAACATAATAATGGGTTAAGGCAATAAAGGGGGGTTAATGTATTAAGAAGAGAGAAGAACTTACGTGAGAAGTTTTCGTAACTTGATCTTCTTTAGAAAGCGGTTGTAAATGAAAGTTCCAAACAGGAGGCCCATCCAGCCAATAACACGGGAAGTGCCCAAAAAAGAAGGTTCTAGATTCAGAACTTCTGTTTGGTAATAGAACTTCACTGTTGATAGATTAGGAATCGTCACCTGCGATAGGAAAAACCAACCCATTGGTCTGGTTTTGGTTTGCCCAATTTTCTAAATCAGAACTACAATTAATTAATTAATCATACAAAATTAACATCATTATTTAATACCACAACGATATACTATATTTGTTTTTTATATTAAAAAGGGAACCTAATCATCTATCAAGTACCTGTTTCTTCCTTAATTTTTGTCATTTGCAGTTTCAATTTGTAATAAATACTTCTCAAAAACAAAGTACAATCACCCATTTCTTTTATTCAGCATCATTTCTAGACAAAAGGGTAAAATGGTCCAAAAAGGAAACAGTCTTTGTTCATACATGAATTACAAGTTCGTTTTATAACAGTTTTCAAAGGAACATTCATTTTTATTTTGCATCGCTTCTAGAAAGAAGGGTGAAATGGTCATTTACTCTCGTTCTTTCAGTCCAAAAAAGAATGATTTTACTTGTTTCTTTCTTACTTTTCTTCATTTACAATTTCAATTTATGAGAGTTGTCAAACAGATAGTCGTTTTTTGCTCAACATCAGAAGGGTAAAATGGTCATTTCATTTGGCCCACTAAGAAACTTATTTCTCAGACATCACTTTATCCATCCAGAGTCCAGAGTCCAGACCCTAAATCTATCCCATCATATATAAGAAATATAGAGAAAAACAAGAAGCAACAAATAACAACACACTTTTACTCCATCTCTAATTTGGCCACTAGACTTACAAAACAAGAGTGTTTGTTACTGAAACCATCCAACCTTCAAAAAGCATTATAAAACTTTCAACTTCAAAAAATAATAATAAACTGTAATAAAAACAATTCGTCCACGTCAGCATTTCACCGGTTTTTAGTCAAAATTACCCAACACAAATCAAATTTGAAAAGTAAATGGTCTTATTAATGATTTTCCCAGTCCAGTAAGCAAAATAGAAAAATGAGTAAAAGTAGATTGCTATTTATGAGAGTTTATCAAGTTGTACCTTAAAATGATTGGCTGTCGAAAAGCTTCAAACAAAGTATAACCAGCCATTTTCAAAGACCAAAACCATTTTAATGGCAGAGATCCTTCTTTTTCAGGCATCTGATCTTTAATTGACTCTAAATATTTTTTCTTGCTGATTTTATGGCTCCTCTTTCTCACCAATGAACCAGGTTTAGGAGCCTCATTTGATGATCTTTCTTCATCTGGTCCACTTCCACTATATATTTCAGAGGCATTAAAGCTAGGAAACACGGTAAAATTTAAACTACTGATTGGGCTTTCTGTCACAAAACCACATGAAAGTAGCTGTATAGTTGGCAGAAATGAGAAAAGTAAAAATATGTTGCCCATTTGGAGATTAGTTAGTGCATATCCTCCAAACAAACTACCACATATTCCCCCTAGAGCCATTGTCATCCAGGATATTGATTGCAGGTCCCCCGCGTATTTAGCTCTGAATCAACACAAGGGTAAAATGGTCATTTTAATGGAAACAAATACGGGAAATTAGAGAGCTTTAGGTGTCGTTTCTTTTTTTACGTAATAGGGAAGGGTAACATGGTCATTTACTCACAATCAGACAGTTTATTTAGTCTAAAAAGAAATGTAATTGCAAAAATATGGGAAATTAGAGAGCTTTTAGTGTTGTTTCTTTTTTACATAAGGGTAAATTGGTCGTTTACTCACATTGACCAAAAACGAAACGGACTTTGTGTGTATCTTACTTACAGTACTTACACTAGACAGACATCATTTACCCTTTCAGCACTTACTGAGAAAAGAAAAAGAAATGGGCCCCTATAGTCTTACAATTTGGTTTTTGAGGTCAAAACTACTACTTCTCATATACAACTGTATATGGATTTTGTTAAATTTAAACATCTTTTTCTTTTAAATTTTTAACATCTATTATAATTTTTTTTTCATATCTAACGTCTTCTTCTTTGAAACGTGATGTTTTTATGGCAATTCTGGAGTATATTATAAGTTACTTTGACTTCTAAAAGTCAAAGTGTACCTTGAAAATGGAGTGAGTAGAAAGAACATACTTTTCACGCCTTGCTGCTTCTGCAATCATTGCATCAATGACAACATCTGCCATTGCAGAGCCCAGATTTTGCAATAACAAGAAGATCATGAGTTGATGTTGAGAATTTCTTGTTGATTCCTGTGAGCCAAGAATCGCCCATGAAAAGAGGGAGAGAAGTGTTGCAATGACTAAATAAGGAACCCTTTTCCTTCCATTTACTGGGATACAATCTGATATAATTCTGCACCCAAGATGCGCAACCATAAATAAACAAGATTTTCAAAAAGTACACTAACCAAATGAAAGCTTAACAATTAGAACAATACCCGTATACTGGTTTTATGCTCCATGGAAAAAATGATATCGAGGTTACGAATTGAGAAGCTGAGGGTGATAGCTTTAATTTGTCTTTCAGCTGGTAGGAAACTGCTGTCCATACAAATGATCTAAAACCCTAATCGAATAAAAAATCATGGAAACCATTAGAAATAAGAAACCAAATGGTTCGTATCTTGATTCGATTCATGTGTGAAAATAACACTTTTGTTCTTCACGAAGAGAAACAACCATGGGTGGACCTACATTGTGCATGTCCTGAGAAGAGTTCCTTGGCTATTCAAAAGGTCTATTATCTATGGTAATTTTAAACATGAACATAATATGAAAATCAAATGAACTAAATTTCGAAGTCAAAATTGACATGTCCTTCATTTAACTTTCCGAATTGGAATTATGTTGAATCCCCAACTTTATGCATCTAACGTTTGTGATTCTGAATAACTACCCAAGATAGTGGATTAACATGCTAAAACCCTTAATCCATGCATCATAAATCGTAATTTAAATTGGGGAAATCATAATCGACAAAGAAGCGGATGAGACTGAAATCAGACCTGGGTAAAGTAAATCAAGCAAACGAGCCAAAGAAACGAAGCCCCGAATGTGATCACCAACTGTTTTATCCATGCTATCATTTTAGTTTCAAGAAATCTGGACTTTCATCTGTATAAACGGAGATGAAAACCGGAGAAGAAAGCGTTTCCCGTAACATTTCCAACCGTTTTCTTTGGGCCCTCGGTTATCCCCCCTTTTGCGCCAACCTCCACCAATCACGTCTCGGTATTGACTACCTGTTACAAGTCAATTAATTTGTTTTATCAAATATTCGACACTTTATTTACTACTGCAAAAGTAACAGTAGTTTGAAAAATATTTAAGTAAAAGGTTTGTGGGTCCCATTTTTTATTATTAAGAAATTAAAACAAAAAAAAATTTTAACCATTAAAATATCTCAACTTAATTTCTAAATATTAAATATGAAATTTTAAAATATTGCATTTTTTTGTACAAAAATAATCAAAAATATATTTTTGCAAAAAAACTAACACTACTTTAGAGCGACTAACTCTCACATTTTTCCAACTACCATTTATTATGCCATATGCCCTTTGAATTTTGATACTAAATAGATCCTTTCAAAAAGAGGTCATGGGTTCAAGTCTCCTAAGAGACATAGATGGTATAGATAGTTTGTCGTTTCAAAAAAAAAATAGAAATATTTTATGTTAAATGGAACAAAATTTCACCGATCCTAAAAGTGGGTCGAAGGAATGCAATTCTATTATTCATTCAAAAGACCAAAAAAACCTTCAGTCATATATATATATATATATATATATATATATATATATATATATATATATAAATAAAAATAAAACTGTTAATTAAAAGTGAAATTTTAATTCAACTTTAATTAGAATTTCATCCCATTTCTTACCAACCTAATGCCTAACATATAGCAATTTTCTTCATATTTCAATTTCATTCCCATAATCCTACCTATCATTTAAACTTTACACATTAAGTACAACTACTTGTGCCATTTTATTATACTATAATCATACGCTTCATACATTCAAGCACAATACATTGGAATACTAGCGTGTCGATATACAAAAGGTCTAACAGCATGAGAGTAGCCAGATACATGATTATAACCAAATTTCACACCAGAAAATCCATCTCCAAGATGAGTGCAATGTTCATGGAAACTGCTAATAGGTCTTGCCAAACAAGCATCCCAACGTTCACTTTCTGGCATAGTTTCAGCCACTGTATATATTCCCTTTGAATTCGTGAACGCTTGGTAATTTAAAACTTCCCCTGATTTCGTTATGCAAAGAACCGCAACTTCTGCGCCTACAATCACACAATCACAACATTTTTTCATTGAAAAGACTGTCAGGACTGTCAGTTACAAGTACTGGACAAACTTTTTAGGACTATTTTGGATTATAAGGATGAAAAGGACGACATTTAGGTCTTTTGCAGTGTCCTTGTCCCTCCTTTATGGGTGGGACCAAAACTTGTAATTGTCACAAAATATCTGTCAAATGCAGTACAATTTGTTCTATTTCGCCCAAAATTAAGTTCAAGGCAGTATAAAGATAAGATTTTTGAGAAAGATAATTTCCATGTAGAAGATCTATTAGGGTTTAATTTCGATATGCTCTTTCATGTGTGATACATGCTCTTGAGCTATCAGAATATGGCTACAAATGACAAATCAGGTGACATTAATGGAGTCCAAATTCAGAATAATTAGGTTTCTTACTTGTTATCTCTTACCAATTACATTACACGAATATACAGTTGTTAATGGTGGCCACAATTTGTAACATAAATCACAGAAAACAAACTTTGTGATCTCGAAAGCAGGAAGTTCAAAATCAGTTGAAATTAACGGAGCAAGACAGATGTTTTAGACTTGAATAAAGTCATGGTAAATTTGCTTGCACTGATTGAAGTAACCAATGAGCGAACTACTGACACTGACTCAACTTGCACCGACAAATTAAGCAAAATTCGAACTACATGTGTACTAAATCTAACAATTTTAAGGGATTGCAAGAAAATAAATCAAACAAATTGTAAACAAGTGTATGTGAATGAAGATACGATAGAGTTGATAGGGTTTAAGAAGGGATTGACGCCGACCTTCTAAGACGTGATCTTCAGGACCAACGGAACCATCGGCACAGACATCGCAGACAACTCTGCCATGGATTTCACCGGTCCAAGCTTTCACAGTCCACGCAGTGAAAAATGTAAAGAGAAAGAGGACAATGAAGAGCTTCCCCATTGTTGATTTTGGTCTTTCATGGCTTCAATTCCTTTGTAGCAACTAGCAACACCTTCGTAAAAAGGTCGGGTTGTCGGTCGGTGTTACCCTGGGTCCGATTACAGCCCGTAAGACTACTGGCCCACTTTCATTTATTTATGTAGCGTTCCTTACCGGACTGAAAACAACATTAATTCCAGGGAACTTGATGAATTATTAATAGGGATAATGATTTAAAAATGAAATATATTTTTTTGATTTGTACACATTTAGTCATTAAGACACTCCAGGTTAACAGGTCAACTCGTTAAACTGTACACATTCAGTCATGACCGGTTACTCCAGGTTAACCGGGAAAAATGACTTAATAGGGTAATATATTTCTCATTTTGTAAACATTTTAATCCTTATTATTTTTGTACACATTTAGTCTTTAATATTTTTTTGTTTTAAAATAAGTCTTTTTTTTGTTTTTATATTTATGAATGATTTCTTTAGTTTTTTCTCACGACATCTTACGTGGGACAATCATTGATGAGGTGTTTGGGGCTGTTGATGCTTATGTCCATCGCGATCTCGACTGCTTGGTTGCGTAGGTCTTGTGGTTTGGCTTAGGTCTTGTGTTATGTAACTTCTTCATACGATATTAGATTTTAATGATCTATATATCTACATGTTCGTTTTTTGAGTCTACTACAACTTTCGTTAAGATTACTCCCGTTAAAATGTAATATATTTTACTTACATATCGATACAATACAATATAAAGCCCACAGGCCTATTTCATCCCAAGTGAATTCAATGGACCTAATCATAGTCTTACAAACACTCCTGCAACGGCCTATTCCATCCAACGAGCTTATTTCATCCCAACTGAATGCTACAGGCAAATTCATAGCCTTACATCACTCCTGCAATTGTCATGGGCTCCCCATGGTCTTTCATACAAACATATAGCAAGAGTCATAAAGACAACAAACACGAAACGACGCCTAATGTCCTACATAGTATAATGAGAAGACTCACCTGATCAAAGATCTAAAGTCCATTATTCGAAGACCCACATAATCAGTTATATGAACCACTTAAACCAATCACAATCTAAACCTTAAACTATAGCTCAAAACCTCTCCAAGTTTAACCAAAAGTCAAACTGGTCAAAAAGTCAACAGTCAACGGTCAAAATCAACACTTGGTCAAAAAGTGTGTTATGCACTTAATAAGCGCCCTGTTCTTTGTTAGAAGACATCGAGTTTAAGGCTTAAAACAGACGCGTCCGAGAAAAGTCAGAAAGTGCCCCACGCTTAGGAAAAGCGCACTATGCTTTGGCTTAATTCAAAGGGTAAAGTGACTTAATCCATTAATTCAATACCCCAATTCCAGATCTAAACTCCCATAAGGTCTAAATGGATAAAGTTTCCAACTTTATCCATTAAGCCTATCCAAAACAAACAAGATCTACACTTTTAATCTCATAAAGTCCAAGAATGCATCTTTCTTGTCTCAATCTAACAAGTACTTCCAATATCTAAGCTTTTTACACTCAAGATGGCCTAAAGCATCACCAAGGATTGCATGGATTGAAGAGAGTGTTAAAGGTCCAAACTTTATCAAATCATAAGGTCCTAGAAGCATTATAGAGTGCATGAAAGGTGTTGGAGCCCATCAAACACCAAGATCCCACCCCAAAAGGCAAAATAAGGCATAAAAGGGCATACGCAAAGATCTAACAAACTAAAGATCAAGATTGAAGCTTTTTACTCACAATAGTCCAAAAATATAATAACTTTGCTATATCCAACCTTGAGCCCTTCACCAAATTACCTTGCACAACCTTGATCTTCAAGCATCACACCAAACTATAATAAATAAGCCTCCAAAAGTGGTTTAAAGCTCAAAATGAGAGAAGAGAGGCTAGTGTTTCACTTGGGATCGTTCTAGAGGTGATGGAGGCTAAGAAATGGAAAACCCTATGGGTTAATGGCCTTTAAATTCCCTCAAAAACCCTAAAAACGCACAACCCATTGGGTTGGAAGCTCCCCGCGCTTTTAAAGGGCACTCCGTGCTTTCCGATAAATTCTCGATTTTTCTGGTTTTCAGCTTCAACTTCAAATTTATCATAACTTCTTCATTCTAACTCCGTTTTTAGTGATCTTTATATGTACGTGAAGGTATTGACAAGCCCCACAATCCAATCTTCTTATTTTTGACTTAAAACATACCAAACTAAAATCATTAATAAATGCAAAAAGTCTGGATTATTACTTTTCCCATTTTACCCTTTTGCTTCAAAGCACAATACAAGGGCTTAAGTCACTTAACCGACATTATCAACATCCAATAGGGTCTAAACCATATTCCTTTGAAGCTTAAGACCTTTATTCGATCAAATTATAGCATGTTATCCCAAAATTAGAAACATTCTGAAACTGGGTGTTACACGAAAGCTTCTCAGGTGTGTCCTGGGACGTCGTGTGTGATGCCTAAGGTCTTTAGGACTATTCAACATTCTAGACAGTGTCCTAGGACGTTGCCATCATGAGTATATCACATCATTAGGATAATAGAAAAAAATTAATATACGAACCTGATGAATAATGATGTGATCTACTAAAAAACTTGCAACAACAATAACATGTCGCAACAAAAAAAAATCATATAGAATTTGTTTTTAATGGGTGGGCCATATCACAATTCATGTCCTTTGTCTCTTTTATTTAACAAATACTATATATATATATATATATATATATATATATATATATATATATATATATATATATATATATATATATATGGTTATGTTATTATTTTGTTTTTACTAACTATTATGTCCCAGAATGCACAGATCTGGACCGCCGGATGGAATAGAATCAAAGGTCATGATCTGGGGGTCTATGATATTAGAATATGATAACATGTATCATATAATCACACAAATTTCAGCATAAGGGCATTTTAGCCAATTAACCTATATTAAAAAAGAAAATTTTCGGATTTTTAGGGATAATTAATTCCCTTATTTTTAAAAATATGAATATTTTAAATTAATTCAAATTTAAAAATCCGAATTTATTCTGTAAGAATGACAGAATGTCAACCATAAACTAGTAAATATATTTTCGATTTTATTCTGTCAGAGTGACATAATGCCAACCATAAACTAGTAAATACATTCTGAAAAGAATACACAAAATCGATTATTGAACTAAGAATATACCAAATAATTACATTGTATGATTTGTGATTCATTGAATAATAACAACATTCTGAAAGAATAACAAGTGTAATTCTTAAAAAATAACAACATTCTTAAAACAGTGAGTGTGATCATTCTTTGATTCATTCTTCAAGCCTTTCCCATCAGGTCTTCAAGCCATTCTTCAAGCCATTTTTATTACAAATTCATTGCCAAATATTTTGTAGTGATACATTGTAACAACTGCACATTAAACATATAAATAATTAACTACAATTCTATCAGAATACAACAATAATATTCTTACGGAATACACTATTCTTGTATAATGGTTTTGAATATTCAGTTTCTCTTTATGTATAAAAAATCATGTTACAAGAAAAAAAAAACAAATATCCAAACCACATGGAACATAGTAAGGGAACATCAAAGTTTAAGTTTTTCAATACCAAATAAAAACAAAGAAGACGAACCTGATAGTTTTTCATTAAAATCTCATCAACAACCTCATAAGCATCTTGACGTGCTGCTTCATGAATTGGTCTTGCATAATATCGAGGATCATGAGGTTTACCAGGGGTCTTTAAATTGTTGATTCATCACATACCAATTTGAAAACTTGTTTTGCTTCTTCGGGTTCCCTATGTTTCTTCTCGATATCCTCAATGTATTTAACTACAAATTCTGACAGAATAAGGAACTAGCATCAACCTATTTGTTATGAAAAGGGCATCCAACCCAATCTAAATTAAGTTATATAGTTCTGAAAAGAATAAGGAACAAAGCGAAGTAAAAACATTAAAGATTATTAACTATTTTTTCATTGAAGCATTTTATCGAACACATGGAGGCCATGACCGAATGTTATTGTTTGTAAACGAAAATTCAACTGACATCCATAGTTAAGCTGTAGATTATTTCTTAGGTCTTTTTTTGTGACAAATTCATTTGTATCTAAAATTTTAAAGTTCTGAAACTTAAATACTGGTGTACATCAGAAAAAGAAGGAAAAGGAACTTGAAATACCAAGAAAAAAGAATCGGTGTCTTGGGTTATCGATGTAGAAGTATCAATTCGTGAACTTCCGACGTAACCCTCAAATCCAACAACTGTAGCACCTGATGGTAGCAGCGAAGCTGCTAAACTGCTATCAATCGATTTCAAAATCATTATTTTAAAACAAAATTAAACAAAACACGTGCGCGTATCTTCTAGTGAAGGAAAGAGAGTCAAGTTTCTAATTGTCTGCTGCTGGAAGGACGAGCTTTGCTTCTTGCTGCCTCTCCCTTCTGTCTACCCATCTTTTTATGACGAACAAACCTGGATTTTTGCGGTGGAAGACGGTATCGACGATGGTTGTTGTTGGCAATGATGGAAGTGTGGAACGAAGGTTTTAAAAACCTGACTGTGGTCGACGATTTCAAGGGCTTCTGTGGTGATGGTGATGAAAACGATGGTTTTGTAGGGTTTAATTGATATCTTTATTTTAGGGGATATTAATTGAATGACTTCTTTTACCATAATTAGATGTGTTAAGATTACCAAAATACCATTTTTATATTTATTTATTATTTAATTTTTGCTAATTTCTGATTGGTGCGTTCAAGAACACAATAGTTGTTAGAAACATTCGAACCTACCTCTCTCTCTCTCTCTCTCTCTATATATATATATATATATATATATATATATATATATATATATATATATATATATATATATAGGTTTAGTATCTATGGAAAACAAGAAACCCTAAAAAAATCATAAAAATACATAAAAAAAAATACTTACACATGACAAATCTTTTTTTTTTGATTTTATATTATGATCTTTCGCTGAATTTTTTTTTGAAAAAAAACCAAAAAAAAAAAAATCAATTTTTTATTTTTTTCAGCAAATTTCTAAAAAAACCTTCGATTTTTG